AATGAAATTTTTTCATCTCCTGAAAAATGTTCTTTTCTTTTCTGTCATATTCCATAAATTGTAATCTATTTCTGTATAAAATATTGGTATATCTAGCATAATACATATTGCAAAAAGAAGAAACAAAATCGATTGCAATGATATCAAGTAAAAATACTCTATTTTTAATTAACCTGTTAAAGATAAGTAATCTATTATTAATATCATATGTATTATGCACTATCAACACATCTATTGTATAACTCAGATGACGTAGATACGTGATATATAAAACGTTACCTGATAATGATAAAATTCGCTTAAGAATATTGTTAATAACAACAGAATATTCTACGTAATTTCATTTCCCGATTATTTTTTTCAAATTAATTTTAACACGTTTTATCCCACTCGCCATCCCCTTTCAAGAAAACTATAAAAAGAAAATCCCAAAGTTCCGTGGATCACGGCGAAGTCACGTCGTAGACGCGTTTTCAATCCGACAGTCTCGATGATCCGGCTCATTTTAATCGCCGGTTTTTCGATAGCGCGCGCCTCTTTCACGACGCGCCTAATCGCGCCTCCCCTTTTGAAAACTCATTGAACCGGATTTTATGCAGCAATCCGCCAATAGCGGATGGTGAGCTGCGTGGAAATAAAATTGTTCACGAACGAGAAAATGAAACGAGAATCACGCAGAAAGGTGAGAAAGAAAAAAAAAAAAACGAAGAGAAAAATAGAACAAAAATGAAATTAGAAAAGAAGAAAAGAGAGGATCTTTGATTCGATTATTTAGGTGTTCCCTCTTCCTTTTCTTTCTCCAGAAGACACGCAAGATGCGCTTTCACCGCATCTAGGAATAGCCGGAGGCACCGCGTCATATTATTATCGCTGCCATTAAAACATCCCCTTTAGTTAGCATTTCACCTTGCAACAGGGACAAAGTGTTGTGTGTTGGAGGGTGTAGCCGCGGCGATAGAGCCGATCTTACACGCGACTGCTCGACAAAGTGAACAGGCGTCGTGCACGTATTAATATCTAGGGCCCACGGTTGTCTCACCCTTCTCACCCCTCTTCCTTTCCCATTCTGGGGTCGCTTCTGACGTTCAGCAATCTTCGTCGTTCGGATATACGTTCCTCAGGGTGGCCAACTTGCTGTGGCCTCGGAATATTATTTCGATTAGAAAATTCGCGTTACACCCGCTCGATCTCTCCTCGTCGTTGGAGTATTTGCGGTACTTCACGTTCCTTTCCCCCCCTTTTGATTGGATTGGTCGATATGGAGAGTCCTCTTGGAGGAAATTGAAAGTGAGAGATGTCGACCTTGGGTGATTTAGAATTTTTTTTTTTTTTGATACGATCTTGTGGGAAACTCGAGATATATATATTTTTTTCTCGAAATATAATAAAAATTTCGAATTTAAATATTTTTAAATTATTTGTAATTGTCACGTGGATGTTAAAGATGAATTCTCGTTTTCGTTTGGGATGGATGTTAATAAATTGTGAAAAATTAAGTCACTTTCAATTTAACGCTCTCGTGTTTGAAGTTAAAATGAGATGAAAATGTTATAATTTTGTCGTAGTTGTTTACTGTTCTTATTTAAGAATATTGCTTTTGACTATTAGCGCGTTTATTTATAAGGGAACGTGTTTAGATTCTGTTTAAAGATAAACAAGTTTAACGTGTTATAGATATTGGCGTTCTTCGTAGATTGTTTTATTTAGTTTTTTCGGTATAGATTAAATTATACGAGAATTTATGCCCATAACTAGTTACCGTTGTAAATATCTTATCTTATAAATATTTCATGAAATCGATTTCTAATCTACTTTTCTCAATTTTGCGCTTATCCATTCTTCTTGCTTTATTATACATTCCCTTATACATCATCAAAATTTAAACCATTTCACGTAATTAGTCTGTGTTATATTATTAGAACAATTCAAATTCTTCTTTTATTAAAAGATATAATTCTTAAGATGTTAAGAAAAAAGGATGAAATAAGATAACAATGAAACAATTTTTTGATAATAACGAAATTTTAAACTTGGAAATTATAAATTAAATATAAATTAATATTATCATAAAAATAAAATTTGTCTAGATTTACATTAAAACACAATAAAATTATAGACATGAAAATATTTGTACATATTTGTAGTTGTAATATTTGTTCCGGCAAAAATAATTCCAAGAATTTAACTTTACTCAATTGTGCGGGATAACCTATATATCTTGTAACTTTTCCAAGCATCTTTTACAATCTACGGTGGAAAGTCCTTGATACATTTTTTTTTTTTTTTTTTTTAAAGAAGTGTGGGCACCAGGTATTGGAGAGGTTCGAAACGGGTTCAAGTTTGTTCTTTGAAAGTTTCGCCTCCGCTATAAAAGTTGATACGATGGCGTGGTATATCGAAATACAGGCGTACCATATATCCTGCAAGATCGAGTAATTGCGATTCGTAAAAAATGGATATAAATAATACGTGTTTCGAAGATTCATGGATCCTCTATCATTAAAAAAAAAGATTGGATATCATCGCATGAACATTTTATCAATTTTTTAATGAGATTTCATTTCTATAAAATATACCATTGATAAAATTAATATTTTCATCGATCTATTGATATTTATTGTTTTTGAATTAATTTCATTTTTTTGTATTCTTTTTTAAATTTGTTGGAGAATGTTCAATCATGATTATTACATAATTTTTTTTTAAATTTTTACAAATGTTATATGTATTTCATGTTTCACAATTAGAAATTATTTATAATTCAATACATAATGAGGACGAGGATGGAATTATTGTCGTATTTCAGTTCGTGTTATTTCAGATATATGTATTATATGTCATTATATCTAATCATTGCATAGATAACGATATGCTAAATTTATTATTATATCAATCACTGATTATTATCATTATAAAATGTTGGAATTATTTGTATTAAATATTCAATATTCCAATATCCTTAACAATTATATTCTAATAAATCTCGGAAAATTTCTAAAAAATTCTATAAAATTGTTACATTATAATTATAATATAATTACCTTACATAACAATTTATATTTATGATTAATATTTATGATTATGACAAATCAAAAGCTGTATATCATAGATTTATCTTTTACAATTTTACAATTTCTGTGTCAAATAATTTTTAAAATTTATTTGTAAAATCTCACTTGTTTTTTTTTATCAAATTTATTATATTGAACGAGAAAATTTTTTAACATCGATAACTTATATCGATTAATAAAACACGATAAAACATTAATCCATAATTGTACACAGAACTCCATTCGTATCTATAATTGTAAAAAATTGTTGGAATAATAACGTTCACGTAGATATTTTTTTTTATCCAATGTCTGAACTCGTATACAACAATATATATTAACGAGCGATATACCAATAACTTTCCCATTAAAACAGTGTATCGACGCGTTTTATTTTCATCGTTGCAATAAACTGAAGAAAAAACTGATAACGACAATGGAATAGCGATATGAAAGCGATATTTCATATTTTTTGTCAATAATGACATTCACTGTGAAAACTGCGAAAATTATTCTCGATATTGTTTCAGCTTGGATTGTTGTAACGAGAAATCATTTCGAAATCTAAAAAAAGAAAATTTATTCTTCTTCTTTCGAACATCATCTACGACAGAAGTCCTTTTACAGATTTATACATTGATAGGAGTATCTTTCTCATTGAGTGAAGCTCAAAGGGATATAACGATTCAAAAAAATACGAATTGATATTTCATTTTCTTAAGTATATGGGCATTAGCAATATAGATTTTACTGGAATCTATATTTTAAAAGTTTAAAAGTTAATCAATTTAAGAATTTTGGAGATTTTTAGATTATATTATTTTTACTTATTATTACAGTTATTATTTGATAGAAGTTAAGAAAATAGAATAAATATCCAAGAAATAATTGTATATTATGCTATTATTGTAAATTTTATTATTGTAAATTGATAAATTAGTGATATTTATTTAACTCTGTCAATCGTTATCAATCACATTTATTATAAATTAAAAATTGTTATTGAATTTACTAATTAAATTTATAATAAAAATATTAGAAGTTTAATTGTATCACGAATAATTATATATGTATAAAAACATATATGTTTTAAATAAATAGATATGTTTTATTTCAGACTATTAAATAAATATTCTGCAATAACTGCATGCGAATTTAATAAATTTTAAACTGGAAAATTCTTACACTGGAAAATACGAAATAATAAGACTAGTTAAAAAGACTAGTAAATTCATTAATCTAAAATTTGATGCAAATATCTTTTCATACTTAAGATATTTATTTACTATAGTTTATTCCACGTAATATAGTGCATGTAATTTTTATTTAAAATATTTACACGATACTTATACGATGACCTAATCGTGAAATTTCGTTCGCGATGAACAATTGATAAATTTTTATAATTCATTGCGCGAAAACAGATTACAATATTATTTCGAATTTTCCCTATATTCCGATTCAGGAAAAACAGGATTCGGGACACGGCACATTGTCGGTTTTCCATTTTCTGAACCAGAAAATGACTTTACAACACGTTAGTGTGATCGACAATATTTCCGTCATTTGATTTCCATTTGATTTGATTCGCGCCTCACGACAGATTTTAAACTTTTGATGGCACGCGTGTTGTACATACCGATTACAATTTCTTGAGGATTCAAGAGACAATCGAATGTCAAGGACAAGAAATATATCGAGGATTCGAGAGGACGATATTTTTAGCGAATATTTTTACTGACCTATATGGAAGAATCTATTTTCAACTTCGTATGGATTTACTTGGACATGTTTGAAAAATTGATGAGAAAGAAACGTGGATTTAAATGTTGCAATTCTGTTGGAATTCTGTATTTATGTGATTTCTATGGATAATGAATACCTGGAAAAAAAAAATGTGTGTATATAAAATTAATGCAATATTACGCATAATAGGGATAATTGTATATCGATTTCAAAAAGAAAATTCTTATCTTCACAAAGCAATAATTCTCTTGAATATAAAATGTAATAGTTTTACGTTCGATTTATAATTCATTTTGATGCGAAAGTGATCTAGCCGCTTTAAAAGTATCTCAGTGCCAAATAGGCTTGGAAATGCTTATGCAGTTGTTTCACCGATCGAACGTCCTAGTATCTTGGACAAGTAGTTCAACGGAAGCTTATATTCAAGGTAATATATATATAAGAAAACTTTAGGTAGGCAATAGATGAGACGATCAGAACTTTGTCTGTTTGACTAACCAAATTTACTTGTTCCTGTCAACACTGCTTCTTATTATAAAGTTTTCTTATATGAAAATATTTGGAAAATTTCATCATCAAATAAATTCGAGTCATGTAACGTGGTCCTTTCGATCTATTTCCATTGCTCACCCGCAACATTTATTATCTACAAAAAATAACGATCAATAAATAAAAGAAAATTTAAACTTGTTAAAAAAAAGAAATACACTTACCTCTATCCCAGGGAGCAACTGCGAAGCGTATTGTGAACGAAGCTTTACGCGTCGGCTCAGATGAAGGCGCGCAATGCGCACGCATCTCTAATTTTCGCGGGGTTCCCCTTGTGGCGCGCGTCACATCGCCCCTTCAGTAGGCCACTGTCACTCCGTCGAGCTGCATCTTGCCCGCGGAGTACACACTTTCTCCCGCCCACGCGAGATCAAACCGCGCGAATCCAAAATCGAATTTTCCCGCGCCACGCGCCGTGATTCCCACAATCTAGATTCCCGCTCTCAGACTATCGACACGCAATTCTTCTCTCCGTTTTATTCCTCATCGTATATCGCTTCTTTGTCCCAGATCGTTTGTACGCGTATACATGTGGATCCGGCAACGGTACCCTTGAATCACTTCCACCGCTGTACGCTCGAGATGTTGCGGTTTCCCCTTTACCATTCCTCGCCACCCTGACAACTGCTACTCTTTGATCGTGTGCCGTATATACCTCTTTTTGAAATTCATGTCGAGGATTGAGGGGCTGTGCACGCGCTCTACGTCTTTCTCTCCGCGTTGGTGCGTATGAAGGGGAATTAAAGAGGGAGCGAAAGAGGATCCTTTTTCCCCGGATTCGTTGTTCTTTCACATTTCAATTTTCTTTGATTTCGATAAACGTGTAGATTGGCTTTTTTTTTTTTATATTCAATCAATATCAATTGCCACGATGTGATTTATCGCGAGATTTTTGTGTCGATTAAATAACTCTTAATTAAATTTAAAAATATAAATATATGGATTTCTTGAAGTTTATGGTAATCTCAAAAATTACTACGTATGTTGTATTGTCTCCAAATTGTCGCCTTTCGTTCCTCGTACCTGGAGAGATACGATTTATCTTGAATGTAGTTCTCATGATGGGTGTAGAAAGTAAAACGATTCTTCGTGGGAATGACAAATTTCTCTAATTCACGTTTTCTTTCTTTCTTCGTTCGCGTAATTAAAGATTCAGAAATTAAAGTCGGTTCTCGAACGAGTTAACCAAAAAGGGGTTACCACTCACAGCGTAACCCAAAACTTCGCAATTACCCTCTTTCTTAAAAATGACAGTTCGTGGGTCAGTGTATCAAAGAGAGATTTACCAGCTTTGGAATAACATTTTCTTAATTAGACAGTGAATCTCTGTGCTCGTTACGAGGCGGAAGCTTTTAATCCTGTTTATATTTATCTTGGAGAACCGGTTCGAGTTCCATTCTTTGTTTTTTACAGTGAGGAAAACTTGTCTAAAAAGGGAGGAAAAAGAAATTCGGAGAAACGTTTTTGCCTATTAGCGCATGCCTGGTTTCTCAAATTATCGCGTTTTTTAAATTACCAAAAAGAAATCATGCTATTCAAACGTCACTCTTTCGCAGCGGAACTTTATGCAAGAAGATCCTCGTAAAAATTTGCGCAGTAAAATTTATCATTCAATTTTGTTTCTCATCCAGTTGTCGTTCCATTGTTCTGCGTAAGAATAAAATTTATTCGTACTTTTTTTCATCGTATAGTGATCAATTAAGAATTTTAACGAAACCTTTTGGTATTAGTTTTCATCACATCTTACGAATTTTAGCTATTAATGCTCATTTCTCCTTATCTCCTTAATCTTCAATAGTTTACACCTATTTTCTTACGCGTTATATAAGCATTAAATTCGAGCTTATTAAATTTCTAATTAAATGGAATAGAATTCTCATACATAATTCAGCGAAAGAATATTCTAATTTTAATTAAGAATTATTTCGACACAAAATTTCTTCAAAAGAGTAAAAAACATATTACTTTGTTTGTAAGAATATAATAAAAAAATTCAATCAAAATAATATGCTATCATATCATATACCTGACAAATTAAGAATAAGAAAATCAAAAAAACATCTAAAAATTGATGAAAACATTGAAAATTGAAGAAACAATTCGAAGATAAAATTAAAAATCGTTATTTCAATTATATCTGAAAGGATTCTCACAGAGAAATGAAACTTTCGAAACTTTCGTTGAGGGGTGGAAGACGATTCAAGGGTATCCATTGTTAACGATGTCAACAACTGCTCGAGCAGCACGAAGAGCTCACGTCGCGACGCTCCTCTTCCTCTATTTCGTGCGACGGATATATCACGAAACGGGAGCCTTATCTGTTCCATGTCAAAATTTATCGTATCATTTCACCACCCATATGCGGAGAATGTTCAAATAAAAATCGTAAATTCAAGTTCGGGCCCCGTGACAGTGATCATTCGGTGCACGAATGGCTAACAGAAGAGAAGCGTGAAACTTTATTAACCATTCTTCGTTCGTTGAACAGATGAATAATCAACTTGGATGCGTTTTGCAGTGAACGGGGAAGTGGAAGTCCTTCTCATTTTTGTTCTGTGACATAAAACATGCGAATCCTTTTCCAGATTCTCGAGAAATTAATCCGTGGTTGGTGGAGGGATCTCAACGAATTGGATTCACCAGCGTTTAATTATAATTAACCGTAACAACTTTTTTGTTAATTAGATAAAGCTGACTCTTATGAATCCTTGTAGCAGTTTGGATACCGGATTTCGATAGAAAGTGAAGAAATAAAAAAAAAAAAAAAAGAAAAAGAAGTCACGCTATTGGATGTGCAGCAACAACGTTGGCTCGGTCGATTAATTTGATTAGATATAAATATCGCAGGATGTGCGCCGGCTGATCTGCATGATTTTCTGCGCTGTTTGTCAAAGGTGTCGGCTGCCTCCTTTTTCACCGTCTCTCTTTCTCTTTTTATCTATCCCTTTGTCTCTCTGTCTTACGCGCTATATCTCTCTCTGCCTTTCCTTCTGATAAACACGTAAAATTCATCTCCACGCTCTTGCACGTCCTCGTCCTCGAGTACGACAGATGCGCACAACGTTTGGAAATAATTCGTGCAAACGTACGAGATCCGAGATCGATCGAAGTTGGAAAGTTTCGTGATGCAGTGATCCGAGGGGATCGTGACACCGCCACTCTTAGCCGAATCAGAGAGAAATGGACAAGGACAGGCATGGACAAGGTATGTCATATCTACATCGCATTTTTTCTCTCTGACGCTTTATCTGTCGTTCCCTGAATTTTGATTTCCTTCTTTGAAATTTTTTTTCTTGTTAATTTCTAAAATGGCATTATTAGTAGGTGATTTATAACATTTGATTGTAAGGAAAGATACATAGGTGTTAAATTAGTTTTTATGATAAATAGTTGGAGGTCGTTATCTCATAATTAAAATCAGAAATGAAATAAATGGATAACGTAAGAAAAATTTAATATATTTTTTGCTAAAAAGAGTATTATTTAATTTATGATAACAACGTATAAATATTTTTATATAAAAGAAAAAAATATGTGTTTATAAAATTCATAGAAATATAGTTTAAATTTCGTAGCGTATTATTTTAATATTATATCAAACGAAACATATTGAAATGTGCTATTATTAATGATAGTCATTTATTTTTTAAAAGATATTGAAATTAAAAATGTATCTCAAAAAATATAATTTTTTTAATTCAATTAAATACTGCTATGTGATTTGATAATGAATGCCACTCGTTTAATTACTTTTTGAAAATTAATTTAAATATTGAAAATATTGTGATTGATTAATTTTGTTTATATATTGAGAAAAGATACTACTTGCTACTTCTTGTATCTAAAGTGTGGTTTGATCATATTATTAATACCTAAATGACTTGCAAGAGTGGTTGCTAACTGTAATATTGTTATTCAATTACTTCTGTGAAGCGTGGTTTCATTATTGCTACCTACATGCTTCAAAAGGGTAATTCAGTTAATGTTTCTATCTAAATGTCATATATATGTATGTTGTCCAACTCTATCTCACTGTCATTTAGATGTTTTGGAAACTTTGAATTATTGTTGATTTCCAAACTATGCATATTGAGTTTCTCGATAACTAATCTTATCTTAAACTATATATAATACTATTTATCTAAATATTAAAGAATGTATTGAAATATATTAAAAACACACTAAATATATACATATTCATTTATAGAATGTATTTACTGTATTATTAAATAATTATTGTTAAAATAAAAATTAATTTGCAGAATCTTCTTTTAAAAACCATTTTTAAGTAATTGCCACATACCTAATATTCAATATATTTATTATTATATTGTTATAATAAATTCTTCTTCTCCTTTTATTAAAATATAATATAATTAAATAAAATTTTTTTTTGTCACAATACAATTATTTATTTAAAATTTTATTATAAATCAAGAACTAGAAATTTTAAAGCAATTTATTCAATTCTAGTCTTGTATAAGACTTTTGGAATTAAATTATATATATTTAGTTATACGACAGGAAGTACAAAATGTAATCTGCATATGAATATATGTATGTAAAATTGCGAAACGCTCTTGTACATCTTTTTCCTGAACGGTACTGTAATACATATTGATGATGTGAAAGGCGCTTATGCTTGTTACATGCAGCTCGTGAAAGTAGCACGGTGACACGCAAATTTCGGGAAAATTCAAAGTTATGGCGGATATGTTATATCTAGAAATCCTTAACTGGGTTGCTTCTGTTGCATTTTAATAGAAAATACATGTTAAACAAGAGAAAATGATTTCTGTCTCCAAAAAGTATTTTAGAAGTACAGAGAAATTATTATCTTGATTCATGTATCTTTTGTTTGAGAAATCCAGTTCTCACTTCTCACAATGATAAATGAATATACGTTTATGTAAGCTTTATTCCTAAACAGGATGGACTTTTAAATAAAAACAAAAAGAAAGGAAATGAATCTTAAATTAATACTTGTGATGTGTAAATGTATGATTATAATGAAAATTGTTTGTTGCTGTATATTGTTATATGAATATTTTTAACGTATGTAATATATTTAATATAATTATATAATAATATAATTATATTAAAATATTACAATATTATTTTTTAATAAAAATTATTAACAATCTTTGTAAAGAAATTATTATTTTTATGTTACTTTTAATAATTTTGAATAATTTTTAATTAGTACTATTAATTAAATTATTATATAATAATTTAGCATATAAAATATTGATTTATATAATTTTTTATTCAGGAACTTACGAAATTAACGAAAGATGCCATTGATATGTAATTGAAACTTTCATACCAAAAAAGCCAGATGAAATACATGAAATACATATGCATGTATATTAAGAAATCTCGTTTACTCGTTTGAGAAAGTTTTAAACAGCATGTCGTTTCCGAGAAACCCTGTAGCTCAGATAAAGAAATCTTTTAATGTAATAATGTTACCAGTGTAATGACATTAACTGAATAATATACGGTTAAAAAATTCTGAAGAATTAAGTCATTTTAATTCGCTTCTAACTTTCCTTCATATTCATAATTAAAAATGAATTTTCATATACTTCATTTTTAATTAAATTGAAATACTGATATAATAGATATGGTGATGGAAAATGGAAAATATTAAATACATAAAAAAAAAAATACTATTTGATGTAATGTTTTATTGTATTCGATAAAACTAACACTTTTATAAATATTTATTTTATCACGAATAAAAAAGTATTCATTTTTAAATTATAACGTGACAGATCTAACACGAGTTTATTGAATTCTATAGAATATAACTTCAATTTTGTTGGAAATATTTCATATTGTTCTGTGAAATATTTTTAAATATATGAAAAAAAGAATTTTAACTTTGTGTAATAAAAATTTTTTTAATATATAAATAAGTGAAGTATGAATTTTAAATAAAATTTTTAAATATTTTGATTGTAAAAATATATAACATAATTATACAAGCTAAATTCTTTTAAAATATAATCAACATTTTTGAAAAATGTAAATTATACAAAATAAATTTTTAAATGAAGAGACAAGAAATTTGCAACCAGAATGATTAATATATCGTTAATTGAAAATAAATGCAATTATTATTATCACTATTATTGTACAAATATATGAAATAATTCATAGGCATTATTACAGAATTAGTTTACGTTCAAACATCGTTCTAACTTCCAAGTTATACAGGATTAAAGAGATTTAAATCGGCCATATAGTTGACAAACTGACAACACAATCCATTTAAGCTCTCGAGTTGCAATCACATCTCTACTATCATGTACTCTTCGTGTTAAATCATACGAAACATTACAAAACTAAGTTCATCTTTAAATTTTGTTTTAAACAATATTTCAATTTTTTATTTAAGATTTGATTTAATTGAGAAAAATGATCTTTACATATACTAAAATTACATATTCATTTTGAAATAGCAATAAAATAATATAACACTAAAACAATATTAAAATGAATGTTGAATGAAAAATCCAAACAAAATCCTTTTGATATTTCAAAATTTAATTTCATAGAAACTTTCTTATAAACAAAATCTGGGAGATTAAAAATATATATTTTTTACTATTTTTTACCATTTTTTTTTAATAATTTTAAACCGTATTCTGTGATCGACATACCGCAAGAAAAAAATCCTTTCTGCTAAGGAAAGTTTCTTCAGACTCATCTTTTACTCTAAGCAGTGAAGGAGGAAACCTCTGTTATTTACTTGGAAGCTCTAATTCAGTTAAACGACAGGTCCAGGTTAATCGTTGACCCCGAACCTCTCGACGCGAGATTTCCTATAAATAACCGGCACTTTATTCCGATGAAATGCATTTCTTTTGCATTTTTTCCTTTTTTTTTCACTCACGATTCATAAGTATTTTTATTTTTTACGATACGATAAAATAAATAAATAATTTATATACATATTATATTTATACATTGACTCATTTCCGCCTTTAATAAAATAATTAATCATTTATCTTTACTTGATAATTAATAATATTTAACATTCATCATTGACAATTTCCAATTATTTTGAAGCACAAATATATTATAAAGGGGAAAGTCGTGTTTTTTCCCCATTGTTAAAAGGAACAATGGAACGAACGAAGTGTGAAGTTTTCCGACATTTGCATCCGGACATCTATTCCGACTTTAATTTCTCCCAGATCGATGTAATACCAATCTTATTTCATCGAGCAAAGGTTCGATAGATTAACCTCAATTCATTAATAGTTTAACTCATTTCGTGCGCAATATGAAACGCCGCGCAATGGTAGAAGATCAATTTTCCAATTCTAGAAACGCATAACTTAACTGCTCAAGCTGCAAATTTTCCGGCATGAATGCACACACACTAACTGAATCATTTACCGAGATTCTGACTTACATTCTCGAGTAATTATAATCTTGGTGGTATAGGTTCGTTCAATTTAGAAATGTGTTGAAATAAAATAGAAGTATAAATTAATTTTTTAAAAATAGTTGTATTAATCTACAATTTATAATTTATGCATTAATTTTTATTTTGATTGGAAAATTTTACGTTTTAATTAATAATTTAATGTATTCTATTTACTATTATTGAAAGTTCATAAAAATTTCTTTACGTACGTTTATTTTAATTCAAATAATTTCACCTTTAGATCTAGTATTTCTCATATATAATATTCCAAAAAATTCCAATAAAAAATAAGTAATAATATAACCTATTCACTGAACAGTACTAATACCAATTCAAAAAAAAATTTAATTAAACTTTCGTAGGAATACAGAAAACATTGTCATCATACAGGATATTCAAGATAATATAGGATCAATATTATGAGATATGGGTTCAATTACAATGAAGGCGAATTGAAAGGAAAAAATGAAAAAATAAAGAAAAGAAATGACAGAAAAAATTTATACCGGACATTTCCGTTATCTGACCTTGTTCCCTAAATTATAACTGTATCGTGGCAATAAATTTTATTTCGGGCCGCGAGATAGCCTCGTATTTTGTGTCGTATTCGCGATCATTTTCATAACGCCATATTCATTCCGTTGTTTTGATAAGAGGATGCTACGTGTTGAAAATTTTTAATAGCATTTTCCATGAGTTGGTGTAACTCTGTTGACAAAAAAATAACAATAAGTCGAAAATTGGATAAAATAGACGACGGGTTT